TCCAATGTGGAGAGTGTACTGTCCCAAGCTTCAGGGGTTTGTGTAGCTGTTTTCAGATATACTTGTAGGGACCTGTAAATTTTCAGTTCTTCCAAGATGGTATGATAAGGGGTGGGGTATTTACTCCTTTCCTGGCCTGTGACGACAAGTCCTCTTTTCTATCCTGTAACTGTGAGGAGGGGTTCCTCTGCACAGCCACTACAAGCTCCAGTACACCAGCATTCCTCCTCACCCCAGGACCGCCACCCAGAACTGTGACCCAGATCCAAGCCCGGGCAAAGCAAGAGATTCCTGCCTCAGCACTGGCAAAGAGATCCCTGCAATCCCCCTCTGATCAGACTCTAGATTCCTCCTCAGTCTATGGGCCAGAAGCTCAGGGGGCAACTGCCTCCCCCCCAGGGCCATGTTCTTGGAGAATGGAGCTGAGACCCTGTGTTCCTCTCTCAGCACCGCAGAAACAGACTTTTCCCACTGACCTTCTAAGTGGTCTTTGGCATTTTTAGATTGAGGAATCTGGAAACCTCCACAGCTGCCTGCGATTCAATCTTCTGAGACCTGCTCCAGGTTTGCTGCGACCTGCGCGCCCACACCGTGCTGTGCTCCTCTACCAGCCTTGCGTGATATACCTTTCTGATCAATCATCCAGATTGTTTTGGGCTAGAAATTTGTTTCACTCTGTTTTTGTGGGTTCTGATGCTTCAGAATTTGTTTAGAGCCATTTTTTATGAGTGTTTGGAGGGTTTTGGAGGAGAGCTCAAGCAAGTCACTGCTTTCACTCAGCCATCTTGGCTCCACCCCTTCTCCCTTTATCTTTCAAGGATTACACTACTCTTCTAGTCTTTCAGGTTCACAACCTGGGTGTCATCCTCAACTCCTCACATAGCCTTGGCCTGCATATCAAATCATATCAAATTTGACATCTTGTGAATTCTAGTTCCAAAAAATCTTTGGTGTGCAACCCCTCCTTTCCATTGGCATAACTACCACCTTTGTTCACACTCTCATCACCTCTTACTTGGACCATTGCAAAAGCTTTTTTAAAAAGTCTCCTTGTCTCATTTTCAATCCATCCTTTAAACAGCTGCCAAAAATGGTATTTCTGGGTCATAGGTCTGACCTTGTCACTCAATCATTCAAGATGCATAATGTGTATTATTAAAGGGATGGCTTGTAAACACTTAGAAAAGTAAACAGTAATCACCAGTATGGCTTCATTTATATAGACCAACCATGTTTCCTTTTTTTTGAAAGGTAATAGAAGTTTTGCCCCAAAACTTGTATGTATCACTCAAAGATGCCTAGCCTATTTATCAGAGATTCTGAGACTCTGGACTCCATCTATCTTGCCTCCCTTCCAGCTCTTCTTTCCACCCATTTCATTGTGCCTTCTGGCACCCCTGATGTATTATCAATAAAGTGCTCCTTATCCTTGACCTCTTTCTATCACTCTACATCTTTTGACACTTTAGGAAATCAGGATCTTTCTAGGAGATGATGGATTTCTAGTGATTCCCCGCTCTAGTGTGAGTTGCTCCTTCAGTCTTGCTCCAGACATATTGGATGAAGAGGAAAAGGTTGTCTAATCCTTCCTACCCCCTCTTCCAAGCTCCCATTGCTGAAATAATCTATAACTTCTCCTCAATAGAGACTGACTTGATATGCATCATACTATACATATCCTTATTGCTGCAATATATTGGCTTCAAGGTCACACACACACACACACACACACCCCTTACCCCCATCAAAGAGCTCAGTACCTGGATGATAGCATTCCTCTCTATCCCTACCTCTGGCAATATACTTATCAATTTCAACTTATGAAATAATGTTCTTTTGATCAGTGTTGATCTTCATTAATGTATTCAAAAACTAGGAGACTGATAAAGAATAATTTCGTTATCTTTTTGATTATCTTTAGTACTTCAGTTTCTTTTCCTGTCTTTATCACCCATAAGAAGGACCCTTCTCAGCCCCTCCTTCTGCTTTTGTTGGTCCCTCCCAGAACCTCCATTTTATGTAGGCCATGTAGTCTACCTACATGGTGGTCTTCATTTCTCTCCATTTTCCCCTATGCTCTTGACTCTCCTCTGAGACTTCCTCCAACAATGCCCCCATCTATCTCTCATTATGTCCCCCCAACCTAAACCCCTCTTAACTTCCTTTTAAATGTTGTCTTACGTTGTTAAAATGTAAGCTCTTTGAGGGTCTTTTCTGCTTGTATTTGTATTCCCAGCACTTAGGACATTGCCTGGCACGTAGTTAGCATTTGACAAATATTTATTGCCTTGATTTGAATTATTGTTACTATATCAAATAATAGCAGTGATAATGGACATCCTTGGTTTTTAGAAAATCTTATTGAGGTCTCTAGTATTTCTCCATTACATTATGCTGGCTCTTAATTTTAAACAGATAGTGTTTACATATTAAGAAACAAACCATTGGCCATTCATTTTTCAAAAAGAACGATGAAAAGAAAATTACCAAAATTTTAAAGAGAAGGGATCAATCACAACAAATAGAGAGGAAATAAAGAATACAATTTTAAAATATATTGTATTTCATTATGTGTCAACAAAACTGTATATTCAAATGAAACAGATGAATATTTATTGAAGTATAAAATTCCCAGATTAGAACATTGAATAGATGATCTAAAAACAAGTCATATTTCAGGAAGAGAAATCGAGCAAGTAATCCACAAATTCCCAAAGAAAAATATCCTTTGCCAAACTGATTTAAAATGAATTCTATCAAACATTTTAAAATGATTAACCCGTATGCCATACAAACTTTTCACCAAAAAAAAAATGGGCAAGAAGAGACCTTACAAAGTGGGACAATTACAGACAAGACACTCAAATGAAGGAGAAATTAAACCAAAAAAAGTTCATTTTTAATTATAAGATAACAAAAGTTACATTATTATATTAGTAGATACATGAAAGAAAAAATCTTCAACAGAATACAGCATCTGGTAGTTTAGTGCTTGAAAGTATTGGAATAAAATAAAATTATCAGCCATAGTATACATCTAAAACTAGAAGCTAGTATTTTCACAATAGTAGAAGCTTTCCTAATGGGATCAGGCATAAAGTAGCAATGTCCATTGCTACCACTATGATTTGATATATACTAGAATTGCTGGCCATAGCAAAAGGGTAAAAAAAAATGATTGGATAAGTATAGGCAAAGAGAAGGCAAAAGTGTGTCTCTGCAACCAATGTGATGGTTTTTTTATAAAGAAAAAAGTTCATTAAAATAACAATAAAGTCACTACAAAGAAAGAAAAATGTTTAAATCATGCCTTTCACCATGTTGCTAGAAAATTCAGGTAGGGATATATTAAAGCGGAATTCCATTTCATGCAATAGCAAAATGCTGAAAATATGTAGCAATTAAACTACCATGATATACTAAAGATTTTTATAAATACAACTGCAAAGTGTCCTTTATATAAATAAAAGAAGACTTAAATAACTGTAGAAATAATTACTGTTAATGGCCAGATTATTACAGTGTAATAAAAATTATTATACTACCTAAACTAATTACATACTTAGTGCCATACCAATCAAACTGCCAAAGAGATGCTTTAAAGAACTAGTAAACATTATGATACAATTTATCTGACAGGAAAAAGTCAAGAATTTCCATGGAGATAACGAAACCATCAAATGATGAAGACATTCAAACTGATTTGTCTGATCTCAAATCTTGCAAAGTAATAGTCATAGGAAATATTTGGTACTCCTCAAAAAATAGACCTATAGGTCCAGAAAACAAGCTAAACCTATACTAGATTGCATACTGTTTATGAGAGAGGAGGTGGAGAAAGGGAGAAAAATTTAAAACTCAAAAGTAAATGGAAGTGAATGTTGAAAACTAAAGACAGATAGATAGATAGATAGATAGATAGATAGATAGATAGATAGACGAAAAGAAAAAAAAAGATACAAAATAGATTAGCAGAATCCAGAATCTAACATAGTACCCCAGTGTTCTATAAACCCAAGAGCACAAAGCAGTAGTGGAAAGAATCTTTGACCAGAACTTCTAGGAAAATTAGAAAACAGTATTCCAGAAAGCAAGTTCAGTTCATCTTCTTATATCATATACCACAAAAATCCCTAGCATATGTGACTTAAATAAAAAAGGTCAAAGCATTTTTAAAATTAGAAATAAAAATGGTACCTTTCATATTTAAATAGGGAAAAAATTCTTAAGAAAACCAAATATAGATTAATAGAAGAAAAACTACATTGTTTATTATACAAAATTGAAAAGTTTTAAATTATACAAATAAATACATCCAGAATAATAAGAAAAGCCATATAGTGAATACAAAATCTATGCATCACAAGTATCAGGTAAAAGTCTGATTTCCAAGATATAAAAGGAATGAATACAAATGTGTAATACCAAATGTTAGGGATCTGTAGGACGTTGAGGACCACAGGCTGTTCATGAGGCTTCACTGATGGGCGAAGGCCCCTCTTGGGTGTTAGTACATGAGCAGAATATCCTGGCTTGGTTCTCCGTCCGCGGACCTTGCACCCCCCAATCAGCAGAACTCTGATACTAGGCAAGCTCAAGCTATAAAACAATGTTGCTAGCTCAAGCACAGTCAGCTCTAGCACAAAGATATATCCAGTATTGCTAACTTATGTATCAAGTATTGCTAGTTCATGTATCAAGTATTGGGAACATTCTGGGAATGAGCAGTACATGGTGTTTTACGGGAACAGCACGGGAGAAGGACACGGTCAGGATAATGTTGCAAAGAAATTTACTTGTTGATAACTTTGATTGGTATTCGCATGAGAAAAATGCTCGGTGTTGCCTATTGGTAAAGATATGTAAACTTTGTTGCTTTATTCACTGTTACATTGGGGTATATTCCCATGAGTAAAAGACATAAAACGCTGAAGGCAGGACCAGCGGGGTTGCTTACTCAGCTTGAGCTAATGGCTGAATAAACCATTTGAAACTACACCTCACTGTCGACTCCACTCCGTTAGCCGGGGACGCCCAAACACTGCAGGTGAGTATGACCCAGGCAGCCCTCCTCGAGTAACGAGGACGTTACAACCAAAGACTATTCCCTAGTAGTTATACTGGGCAAAACATAAGAAGTATTTAAAAAGAAGAAATACAAACTCAGCAATCTTAAGACAAAATGCTCTAAGGGGGCAGCTAGGTGGCGTAGTAGATAGAACATCGGCCCTGAACTCAGGAGGACCTGAGTTCAAAGCCAGCCTCAGACCAAACACTTGACACTTACTAGCTGTGTGATCCTGAGCAAGTCACTTAACCCCAAATGCCTAAAAATTTTAAAAAAAAAAGAGAGAGAGAGAAAATGCTCTAAATCAGCAATAAGATTAAAATAACTTAAAATAACTTTAATCTTTCCACCTTGAATTCATTAAATTGTCAAAGATAACAAAATATAGAAAGAATCAGTGATGAGGGGGGCCACATGAAGTCAAGTACATTAATATACTCGAGAGAACTCTGAAGAGTTCTCACTCTTTTATAAAACCATTTGAAATTATGTAATAAATGAATGTATACCAGTTATAGCTTTTGATCCCAAATTTCACTACTTGACACATACTAAAAGAAAGTCAACACAAAAAGAAAATTCTTAAATGTACTAAAATATCCATAGCAACAAATTTTATGGTAACAAAAACTTGAAAACCACATAGGTGCCCACTGATTGGAGAATGGCTATTAAAATGTTGGTATCTAATTGAAATAGAGTATCATTGCACTATAAGAAAGAGTAAATAAATAAGAGGCATTTGGAGAGAACACTATAATGACTATAATAATGCTGATAAAAAACATGGTAGTAAAAAGCAATCATACCTAAACAAAATTCAATAACCAATCTTGATTCCAGGAAAATGATAAAGAAATACTCTTTCCTCTTCTCCTTAGAGCAGGGATTTTTAAACTTCTTTTATGTCACAGACCCTTTTCCCATCTAGTGAAGTCTATGGAGCCCATTCTCAAAATAATCATTTAAAATGAACAAAATAAAATGCATAGGATTACCAAAAAAACACAATATACTGAAATGGTTATGAAAATATATTTTAATAAATTCATGGACCTCAGTTTGGGAATTCTTTTACTAAAAGGGTGATGGGGCCATGTATGACAGTTGCCAGATATGACAGGTACAGACAGAAAAGTCAGTTTTGCTTTTTTGGTGTTGTTTTTATTACAAAAGAATATTCTGGGCAGTAAGGTTATAACAGAGAATGAGGCATAGAACATCTGATATGATTATTATTTGAATTTGTTTTGCTTAATTGAACTTTATTACAAGCTAGGGTTCTAGGGGTATAGAGATAATTTGGAAAGAAACAACAAAGCAAAAAAAAAGTCAATAAAATATTATTTTAAAAAATACAACCAAGAGATCTCCAATGGGTGCAAAGAAGTTGCAGTACCCATCACCACCTAAAAATTGTGTGCCAGCCAGTGGTAAATTTAGAAGAGAACCTTGAAAAGAGGTAGATGGGAAAAGCAAGCATGGGAAGTTGTAGTTTGCTCCAGTGGAGAGAAAATTCATATAAAAAACTTACCAGATATAAAGAATTAAAAGAATATAATACGTATTTGTATTCTCTATATCTATTGCTAAATAAGGTGAAAATTTCAGACTAATGGAAATTATCTTCATATCCATGCTGTGTCCTTTTAAATCTTTGTTCTTGGGAGAGATCCGACTTTGGTGTTGGAGACTTGGCTTGATCCTAGTTCTGACATTTATATTATTACGGACACTCTCTGATGATCAGTTTCCTTATCTTAAAACATGAATAATCAGACTTGTACTCTCAACCTCACAGAGGTGCTTTGAGGAAATCACTTTATCAACTTAGAAATTGTTATGGAAATATGAAATATTGTTATTGTTGTTATTTTTATTATTAGTCTATGGTAGATCTTCTCCTCCTATATCCCTTTTCACTGTAGGCAATATTTCTTACTCTACCACTGAGGAGAATGCTGTAGGTTGTTTGCCATGTTTTGTAAATGTTGGTTGTCTTGGAAACCTTTTGAACTCATCAGTGTCTCATTTTCTACTATTATGCTGTTCCATTTCAACCACCAAATTGTAGTGTTCTTTCTTTCTTCCAAAGTGAGCCCAGCGTTATGCTTTAAGGTGAACGCTTCTGCAATATTCCAGGACTATTGATACCGAGCACCAATTCAGGCTTTCCCCAAACCTCTCTATTAATATTTTACCCTTTCTTCCTTTCACCCTGACCTTGGTTTAACACCAAACATTTTCTTTTGCTTCCAGCATCTTTCCTCCCTTTTTCTTACAGTATGAATCAGTCACACAGTTTCTTAGCCCATCAACAATTCTCTAATTTCCTTGGCTGGCATACCATGGAGGATATTGAAGAACTCCAGTTAGGCAATTGTCTTGACTTTGAGTGGATGTGAAGAGTGTGGGTCATAGTCACTTTCATTTCACAGATGCCAAGAAAAGAGGCTTCTTGAAAAGTGCTACAGCATTTCTAACCTTTGCCAATGGAATGTTTACTGACTTAGCAGCTAAGGAAAAAAGAGAAGAAAAAGGAAAGAATCAGACAATGAGGAAAGATGAGTAGGAACTGAGTTTTGTATGTGCTAATGACTCAAAGCAGCCTTGGGGACAAAACCCAAGATGTCGTTTATAGGTTTTCTGCAGCTGGCAAAAACTATATAGTAATGTTTGATGCATTGTGTTTCATTAGTCTTTTCACAATTGTACTAAGTGATTACACTGCTAAGCATCACAGGATTATAGGTATAAAGTTGGAAGGGACGTTAGTGGATATCAAATCCTTCTCCATAACTTTAATCAGCTTACATAAGGTTGTGCATGTAAGAAGTGGCAGAACCAGAATTCAAACTCCAGTACTCTGATTCAAAACTGAGGAAAATTAGTATTATGCTGTATTATTTAATAACTGATATTACTATATTATTCTGTGATCCATCTTTTTTTCTCATTTTTGTCAGATCCTACTTCTAAAGGTCTTGAAGTTTCTCCCAGCCCGCAAGGCATCTACTCTTTAACCAGCTTAGGCTAGACCACTTCCAATGAGACCCTCCATTCTGTTTACCCCATAAATAGAAGTCAGTTTGAGCTAGGCTCTCCCCAGGAGATATGTCCCTTGTCCTTGCTTTTTCTTCATTGAAGTTGGGGGTGATCTGGTCTACAAGAAGGAGACCAATCCAGGGAGATCCTGATTGTGGTGGTTTTTCTAGTTAAGATTGCTAAAGGCAGCTGGGTCTCATAAGGCACTGGCATTCTTCAAATGTCAGAGAGGTGTGGCCATCCCATTTTCCTGAGCTGCAGACTAATCCTTTCACCTGAGGATTAGTCTTGGCCTCTCCTCCCCACACCCCACACATAACAATGAAGAAATAGGGAGGAGCTAAGAACTGTTAAGGGACATCCTCAATAAAATGTCCGCCAATTGGGATTGCGTTGCCTTTGCCAGAGGAGATCCAAATGAAATATTGTCAGGCCAGTCAGAAAGAAGACTCACCTAGGTTTAAGAGGCCTGTTGGCTCTCATTTCTTGGTCTTTTGGCACAGATGGAGGCAGGCTAGAAACACCTTTACTAATAGGTTTGGTATCCTATTAATAACTTATCTTGCACGGAAAATTGCCTCAGTTTACCATTTTGTTAAATTTCACTCACAATAAAACCCAGAACTCTGTGGTATCAGGATGGCATTTAAGTAGTACTGATATTTAATGACCTATAAAGAAGACTATATTTTCACAAATTCATGCAAATACTTCTTAAAAATCATTTTCAAAAAATATCTCATTTCCTACATATTCATAAAAAATTCAATTGTGGAAGGTAAAGTCATACAGCAGAAAGAGTACTGACTCAAGTCAGAGGACCTAGATTCAAGTCTCCCCTCTGATGTTTCTTACTTGTATGACTTTGGACAAGTCACAACCACCCTGGGCCTCAGTTTCCTCTGATTTTGGAAAATGTGGCCTCTGAGGTCTCCTCAGCTCTGTATCTATGCTCCTATCATCTTATGGTCTGCCTGTGTAGTGCTTTCTGTTAGGTGCAAAAGAGCTAAAATTAAGACAGATTGCCTACTCTGCAGAGATGAAGATTTGGGAAATGTACTAAATGGTCTATATAAGGTAAGGTGAATTTTTTCCCTAAGGTGACTCAGCTCTAAACCAGGAAAAGTCATTAAAAGGAAGGCTGTACTCCTGCATTCCTACCTCCCATGGTTTTAGTAAGTGTTAACCAATTTTCTGGAAAATAAATAAAAGTGTGCCTGATGCACTTTTAAGTTTAATATGCAATATTAACATTTTCGCCTATGTCTAGAAAATCAACAAAACAATAAATCAAACTCTGCTTTATATATTTGTCAATTTCTGAGGTATAAATATTCTCACTAATAATTTAAGGATGGCTCTCAGAAGCTGGTTTGATTTGGCTCCAGCATTCCCTTGAACAAACCTCAGATCCAAGGCCCAGGGTTCTAAGCCAAAGCTCACTGCTCTTTTTGAAAAAGCATAGCAGTACCGCAGCTGAGGATAGCAGCTGAGTGTGAAGATGTAAAATCCAGGCAACTGATCTTTCCAGCTAAGATGCTCCCTATGAGGGGAAAGTACCGTGTGCTGGAAGAGCCACCTGTCTGGTAGAGATACTGCACACAGCAGTATATTTCTTCAACACTATCTAAATAGACATGGGACATTGAAGTCCAGCAATTCAGGGGTATAAAAAAACCAAATAGCAAGGCTCTGCAGTTTTGGAGATTGAAAGGACATTGAGACTTTCAGTACCAGCAGTTATAAAATACTTTGGTTACATTTGTTCTTTACAGAAGTGCTTCTCTATTTTCGTAATTTAAGTTTTTGCCTACTTTTTCCATGGATATAGGATGTGTTTGTGGGAGAGTGTCTCCCAGGTAATGGAGGAAGGATTATAAATCCTATTCTTGTTATGGTATTTGAGTAAATCTCCTTGCTAACTAAGTTTACTG